TTTGCCATGCACAATGCACATGTTGTCCAAAATGAGCAATACACCAATGCACTTTGGGTAAGAAAAATGTTCCTAAGCCGGTACATGTTTAAGAGTACCGGGTTTGGTCAAACCATCACAAACCCATACCATTTAAGCAATTTAACCAAGCCGTGGAAAATCATGTAATTGGTAAATAATCTACACATGGGCCATGTTTCATGGCTATGTTATATTACCGGAAGGAAATTGGTTATCTCTCCCCACATATAGCATCATATATCCCCATATCGGTTGTTCAGATCCCCATGTTGGTTAACTATCCATTCTTGATAATTATACAAATCACTGTTTTTCAAAAGCCATCACCGATACAGAAGCGATTGATCCCATATAATTTGACCATGGCAGATGGCAAAACATGCGCAGGGTTCTCATCTTTTGCTTAGCGCAGGCAGCCCAGCAACCAGTGGCGGATGCCCAGACCTGCTGGGGTGGCGGTAAGCCTTGGATGGGTACTTTGGTAATTAATTAATATGTTTCCATGAGTGGGATATATGCTGACTAGTTGAAAACAAAATGCAGGGTTGGCCATAGTATGAGTTAAAAATCATTGAACCTGCCAAACGAGTGGCTCAACACTAAATTATGAGCAGCCACCGTAGGTCCATAGGTAGCCTAACTTGATCCATAGATCCATACCCAAATGATCCCAAAAAACAGGAATTCAATCCACATTTACAAAGAAACTGGAACACAAGTTTGATTCACATATTTTTATCCCCAAAAATTGGTGGGCTAATCTCATGCACAAGTGAGTTTTAAGTTATCAGAACCATGGTGAAGAACCAGGCAACATGATTGAGACCATGCCCAGATTGAGGATTCTTGCAGCAACAACGTGGTAAACCCACTGAACCATGTGTGTTTGAACCTTTTTCAGGATGTGATATTCTACCATGTTGGCATTTGGATGGGGCTCCCTGCACGTGACCATGAGATTCCGACTCCAAGAGACTCCTTTTCTGTATGTCCAAGTATGAATATCCGACCTATTTAAAAGACAGATGTGTACATATTGTACATATACTATACATGAATATACATGATATGTATTTGCGTATGTATTTATTCAATGATGTACATATGTAATTAGTATACATATACACATCATATTTGGGTATATATACTTGGACCGCTCTCCCGGAAACATAACTCTTAGCCCTGCGGCCACCATTGGTCGTCAACAGCCAGGTGACATATCACCGAAGCAACTCTTCACCAATGCGGCCACTGGGCAATGATCAGGGCGATCCACCGAAAAATGGGATAGAACGAGCGAGGACACGAACCATCAAACACGAGTCATAAAACAGAATCAACCGGAAAGAAGACTCTGAAGAAATGAGGATTTTGTGCAATAACATACCAATTATAGCTATGAGGGGGGTATGAGCCACAACCACGTAGCTATCAGGGTATCCAAAGAGTAAGTTATCAAATCCAAGGCGGTATGTAATCGTTACCAACTCGAGTGTGTTTGACAAAAATTAGTGGAATCGGTGCAGGTACCAATGATAGAAGCCAGTTCAATAAAGTGCTGATATCACCTGCAAAAAGTGCCAGCGATTTTTCGTGGAATAACAAAGAAGTGATGACTCATATTGGAGGTGCTGAAAATGAGTTGCTTTGAATTATGGTAGCGACCCCACAAAAACTGGCGATAATGACCAGCCAAAAAGTTGCAATGGGTAATTATACAGCCAGTAGGACTGGCAACATGACTGGCAATGAAACAAGCTTAATCTGATTAGTCTAACCGGGCGATGTTCAAGCTGGCAGCCATGATCATCATCTACTTGAGATGATGATCCCAATTAACTTCTGCGGGGGGTTGAAACTACCAACCAACATAGCTGGACGTGGAAGTATTTGGAGTAGTTGCACGGTTATGAACCAATTACAATCCAGTCTATTTTTGAGTTTGTGTACAACGGGGTATACAATAAGTCCCTCACCAATAACTTAGCTCCCAGCCACTCAAAAATGTCAATGACACCTTCAGATACCTAATTTGAAGGTCCCGAGCCTATTTCAGGTTTGGACAAGGGGAATACCCGCTGTCAATTTGTCCCTATACATCCTAGACGGTACTCATGTAGGAAGTTGCCTCGACTTGCATTGAGGTTGGGCAAAGCTCTCCCCAAGGTGGATTTGATGGGCTTGTCTTTGTTAAATCCCCCATCAAATATCACCATTCGATAGCCATAATTCTTGCTTCAATCATCTTAAATGATCTTCAATTATCTTAAACCATGTTGAATCATGTTTAATCCCCATGTTCAACCCATCTTGACCTTTAAAACCTTGGAACTCCCCATTCCCAATGTGCTCCACCAGCGCACTCCCAGGGCCCAGGTGGTGCCGCGCGGTGCCACGGTGACGGTGCCAGCGGGGCCGGGGCGCTCACAGGCCAGGGGCCCCCCCTCCAGTTATGTTTGGTGGGTTATATAACTATACTGGTTGGTGGTTTGGAACATTTTTTGTTTTTCCATATATTGGGAATAATAATCCCAGCTGACTAATATTTTTCAGAGGGATTCAAACCACCAACCAGTATAGATAACTATACATATAACTAGAGATATAACTATAGATAGTTAGAAGATATTGAATTATGACCTATGAACTATGGGTATATCATGATATGTCTATCATAAGTCCTAGTTATAACATGTTATAAACCAACTTATTTGGCCATCTTGGGGGCACTACATTAGACTTAATTACCTTCTGGTAATCAAACATGGCTTGCTGGAAAATCTACCATTTCTAGTTGACTTTTCCAGCTATAAACCTTCCACTTTCCGGGTATTTCTAATTACCATGTTTGATTACCAGAGGGTATATGGAAAATGTGACGATGTAGGAAAATCCTATATTTTTGGGGAATAGATGGAATGGCATAGATATATAGTTCTATATAATTATATTTTATATATATATATATCTATATATATGTATATCAAGTATATATATATATATTTGTTTGTTTAATATATATATATATATATTTGTATATATATAGAGAGAGAGAGACACGTATTTGTAACCATGAGAAATATAGTAGTAGGATCGGTAAATGATTGCGATTGGTGAAATAGAAGTTAACTATTTAATGTATATATATATGTATCATGATACATATATTTGTACATGGATATCAATGAAGTGGGGTATAAAAAGTATAGACCATTATATGTGATTTGTTTGGGATATAGGAAATTGAATATACCAAGTAGATGATGATTAAGTTGATAGACCATTGGGAATGGAAATATACTGTACTTATGTACTTGAACAGTGTTCAAAGCCCCAAGTGGTGGAGAATTGTAGGGGATCATGCTTACCGATATGTTTGGATTATCACAATCCAGTAGATTTGATGTTGCTAGGGTACCTCAAAATCCGGTGGTTGATGATCATTTTCCCCATTGAAACAGTTCTTCTGGAAGTACGCCATTTTCAGACAGACCCACTATCATATATCTGGATTTAATGCGAAAAGGCATATAATGGAGATATTGTGGTCATATCAGGGATCTGATGGTAACATTGCGGATATGATATGTCTATACATATATATATATATATACACATATGTATATACATATATGTATATATATATATACATATATGTATATACATATATCTGTATATATATATATACAAATATATATATATATGCATATATTATATGTATATTATATTATATCATAGTATATTATATTATATAGTATTTTATATTTTATTATGTTATATTATTTTATATATTATATATTATATATTAAATATTTTATATTATATATTAAATATTTTATATTATATAATAAAAAAAAATTATTATATATTAAATATTTTATATTATATATTATATATCAAATATTTTATATTATATATTTTATGTTTTTCTCATATTTCAAATATTTCAAATATTTTATATTATATATATCATATATTAAATATTAAATATTTTTTATTGTATATTATATATCATATATTATATATCATATTTGATTTATTATATATTATATTTTATATATTATATTTTATATATTATTTATTTTATATTATATATTGTATATTATATATTATATATTATGTATTTTATATTGTATGATATTATGTTATAGCATTTTTTTATTATACGCATATTATGTATATTTATATATATATTCACCAGAAGTAAACATGGGTTCAGATCAGTGGGGTTTACATCAGTGATAGTTACTAAACCCAGTTTTCATAAATTTTCATATATATGTTTTTTTAAAACATATTTTAGCATGTTTTTTTCAAATTATGTTTCTTCTATTTGTTTTAAAAACATGAAACCACGATTGGCACCTATTTTTTTCAACGTTTGCCATCATATGAAAACATTTGTTTTTCTCCATATGGTCATTTGATCATATGACATTTGAACAAATGGCAGTCGCACACAAAGTTTGAAGCACGTGACAGGCCTCGATGCATAGTCCTCAGTGACACAAAGTGAGAAAAAGACACACATCACAAACATTTGAATCATGTGAAACACACACTACAAGCAGACCCATAATGAGACATGAAATTCAAAGTCAGGATGCAAAACTGAACACACCTTCAATTCAACAATTCTGTCAGGACCTGTGTGCTGGAAGTGCAGTGACACAGCGAACTAACAACATGTCATTGCATCACAACTCTAGAATTGCCCAGCTGCAAACCTTTAGGGTACCTGCCCAGTCAGAAGCACTGCCCACAAAAACAAAATGGCAAAAGTAAAGCAGTGAGGGATTGAGGGAGGCTGTTCTACAAAAAGGTTGTAACTGTTTTGCCATTGCAAAATTGCAGCCACAGCAATGAACATGTCCTCTCTGGTTGAACATGCAAAATTGAAAGCTTGCAACTTCAAACCATGTGTCAAAGTGCTTCTTGCCCAGTGCAAAAGATGCAGGCGCGAAACCCACAGCTCATTTTTTTGCACCAAAACGCCTGGTCATCTCAGAGTTGCCAAATTGAATTTTTGCTACAATGACACAGCAGGGACTGAACAATCCTTCTGCTGCACTCGCAGCTTTTGAATTTCAATGCACGCATCGCTTACGCGCGCTTCTGCACAAAACAATTAGAAACAGCTACGCCAAAGAGCTCTGGGTAAACCTCGGACTCCTGCAAAGCTGGTTGCACCCCACTATAGCCGCCATTCTCATCCCTGGATGCAAGGGACTCATCTGAGTTGGAAGGTTTGTCCCTTAGTAGGGCATCCAAGCTCCTGGTGCTCCACAACTGAACCGGTTTGCAAGTACTTGCTCCAAAAGCTCCCATGTACGTGGTGAATTTTTGGGCTTGTACCCACACCAACACATTCTGGAGCCATGGGTTTTTGACCATCGTGCTGGACTGAGGTTGCTCCAGTGTTGTGAAGTGGCCCAAACATGACGCCAGGAAGTAGAGTAGGCTTGTGACCATCATCAGTCGGTTGCCTTCAACGACAAAGGGCCGATCACAGTCTCCATGATACATGTTCTCTGCCGATCGGCGGGAACAACTGACACAGAGGCTCACCCAAGAACTGCACTTGGTGCCAAACCACACCAAAGAATTCGGCCGTAAAGCCTGGAGGCATTCCAGCCACAACAGCAAACCTGCCGGTTGTAAGCAGTCGTGGCAGGCACTCCACAAAATGTCCAGCCCAACACCAGCGAAGTTCTTGCGAAGCAAAGCTTTGGAAAGGTTTCCACGGCCGCAAGCATACTCCACAAAGTCCAAGTGGGCAGAGCCTTCCTCCATGGCAGTAATGGCCCTTTCCACAATCCAGAAAAGCATGCTCTCCAAAGTGCATTGGCTCAAACCAGGGTAAGCCGCTGCAAGAAGCCTGGTCCATTCACTGCTTGCACCTCCGTTGCTGCTTGCGTCGAAAGCCAAGAAATCTCGGATGTATTGCTGAACTTGCGCAAAATGTCCAACGCACTTGCACCTGTCACGATTCAAAGCTGCTTCCCAAGAACAAATCAGAACCACAAGCCAAGAAACACATGAGCTAGTTAAAATTTCAGCTAAATTGCGAAAAGATAGCAATGACGGCAGGAAAAAAGTTCACAAAAAAACGCTTGGGACGACAACAAAAAAACCCATAGAAACCCCCAACCATGGCCTTCCAGCAGGACGATCATGATGAAAATCGGCCAAGGATACACCAGCAGAGGATTGCTTGAACTTCGCTTCAATGCGCATCACAGTTTTGTCTACGCTCTTGTCTGGCAAAGGAACATCTGGTTGGAAGAAGGTCTGCTCAGCAGGTTCGCTTTCAGGTTGAACCTGCCCGGGTACTGCCTCATGTCCGCTCTCCCCAGTGATCGGCAAGTCCTGCTTGGACCTGTTCTTGATCTTTTGCTTATTCTTTGGTTTGTCAGACATATTCAACGGACTGAAGCACATAGCCGAGGCTAGCATCAGCGGAAGCCAGGGGCACAAGGTTGCGCCAGCATTCTTTTCACTATGCTTCTTCGTCTTGCGATGTCGAGACGGCATTGCTGGGGCACACACTAAAATGCTTGTTGAAGGGCGACTGCTGTGTTTGTCAATAATTTCAAAGCCATATGTCAATGTGACATGACAACCTCATGGGAAAATGCAGCCCAAGGCCAGCCATTACAATGTTTCGTATTATGATAAATACTTGTGCAGAATCTTGAACAGAAAACTAGATTCAATCTAAAATAGCCTCTGATTGATTGATGCTAGGGAACATCGCAGACCTTGATGAGCCAACTAAGCATTCACTGCACAAGCCGCTCATGATGTGCAAGCGAGCAAATGGGCAGGTGGTTTCTCATGTCATATGTCATGTGATCATGTGAAAGCTTCGACACATCACAACAGATGGGCATATATGAAAACAATCACCCAAAACTGAACAAAACTTGTTACTGCGAAAATTTTCACTCAGTTGAAGGTCTGTCCACTGCCCATGGCTCCAAAACATGGCGATGTTGCAATTTCAAACAGAATGTTTCTCAAAAAACGCGGCCCTCTTTCTTGGGCAACACGCAGCCACATCTGGCATCTGTGCAAATCGAAACATCGACAAAAATTTCAACTGCTTCTTGGGTACTTGACAGCTTGAGGCATCTCAGCAATAATTGGAGCCAATGCCTGGTAGACATTCTCCGGTACTACTCCTGGGTCTTGCTCGTCTTTGTCGCATGGCCAAGTGTCTCTCACAAGAGCCCATTTAAGCCAGGCATGCTGATGCACAAGCTTCAAGGCCGATCTCCAGGAACAGTTCAAAAAACTACGGTTGAAAGTCTTTCCCTTGTACGGAGCGACATTGAACCTGTCATCACTCACCCGAGTTTCCACCTTGAAGCGGTGAGCATTCTTGTCAATAAAAATTCGGAACTTGTCACAAGGCTCAATCAACTTCATGATCTCAGCCGGTGTGCTGTGCACCTTTGGCCCAACATGCCTGTGCGCCCCGGGTTGAGGTGGTTCTTCCGGGGCCGCTGCGTGCTCAGGTTCCACTTGAAGGTCAGGAGCAGCTGCAGGCGCCTGCACCGGCTGTTCCTGAGGCTCATGTGCAATTTCCATCCTCTCATCCACTGATTCCTGTTCATGTTCCGCAAAATGTTGCGGAGGGCTCGCTGGTGCAGCGCTGGCCGAAGAGGATGGCTCCAACCCACCAACTGCATCAATGCCCACAGACACAAGTTCATGATTCGATTCACTCGCTGCAGGACCAAAGTCAAAACCACCATCTGCAGTAGAATCTTTCTGCTGGGGCGAAGCAGAACCAAGTTGCTCTGGCTCTTGCCCGCCACAGTCAGACACTGACACACCGGCATCTGGACGAGCCAAATCTGCATCATCATCATGATGGGCAGAATCATCCTCATCATCTCTCTTACGTTTGCGAGCGCTCTTGGCTTTCGCTTTGCCTTTGGCCTTTGCTTTGGCCTGCCGCTTCGCTTTCTTAGCCTGCAATTCTGGCATGAGATCACAGGTCTAAAAAGAGTCAGCAAGAGTCAAATATGTTTTCGTCCAATATTATGCATGCTACATTTATTCATGGAAATTGTTGCCCACAAAAGGACAGCAAGGACGAGAGACCCCGCCTGTTTCTCTGCCAGTTTCTCTTTGAGCCACTTATTCCACTGTTTCCTCTTTTGGACAGGAGAGTCTTCATCTTTCGTCTTTTGAAGGCCTAGAAAATCTACTCGTTCATCTGAATCCATCTGGCCGAACAACGCATCCACAAAATCTGTGAACTCATCTGGAATTTTTTGTTTCTGTGGTTTATCTTTGCTATCCCTTTCAAGCACCGAATCCACATAGAAGCTGTTGCCTTGCTGCCCCGCTAAGATCTGTAGTAGACTTGTTCGAGTCATTTTTTGCGGTTTCTCAATCCCCATGCCTTCTGCAATCAGTTGCAGTGACTTGTTTGTGAGCTCCTTTGTTTTCTCCAACAAGACATATTTGACCAAAGGCTGGGGATCACCAGTCTGCACCAAGACTAAGCCTTGCTCATCACACCACCAGGCCTTCGTCGGTTGCACTTCATAGTACTCCGGGTCAAAGACGCAAAGCCATTGAACTTGCAAGTCTGGGTTGAAACAATAGCGCCAAGTCCAACGAGGGTGGACATCAATGTTGTCAATCACCTTCAGGGGCCAGACCAATGTGCTCCACTGATGCTGGTTCAGAATCAAGTAATAGCGACCAGCTGCATCATCTACACGGTTGATCACGAGACCAGTAAAGCACAGCAGATTCAGCTGGCCAGCCTCAGGGACTGGTGTTAAAAAAAAACATCAGGAAACAGACAGAAACCATTTCCAGGACCCCAAAGCTAGTTTGAATGAACCCCGCCTTGATGCGAATCATCGAATCCTGAAGCTTTTCTGCTGAGTAGTAACGCAACCAAGACCAAGCAGCAGATGATCTAACCAAAGCTGGTTCTGTGAGAGCAGGCCAAGTTCGGTTCTTCATGATGTGACCAAATTTCGCATGAAGTTTGTGATTGCGCGGTCTGCCATGCTTGCGAGGCTGGAAATGGCGATTTGTTTTGCGAAGGTTTTCCAAAAAAACCTTCCTTGTGATGACTGGGCCGTGTCGAATCTTCCTGCTGTCCAACACATTGCAATGATTGCAGATTTGCTGCACACACGCGGGCGTCATTCTGTCATTTGGTCGAGCCTTTTGAGCGTTTCGTAACCTCTGGTGCACATCTTCAATCAATTTGCTGTCTGGAACACTGAAGACCATCGAGCGAAGCATCTGCACAGCAGGCACAGTTCTCGCAGAAAGCTCCCAACCATGGACTTCAAGCGCAGTTGCCACCAAACGTAGGGGCGCGGAAAAAACCAAATGTAGGTCTTCCAGCAGAGAGCCAGAGTCTGCGGTTGATCCTTCGAGGCTCAAGAGTAAGCAGAAGTCTGTTTTGAATTTGCACAGGCCAGCGGCAGACCCTTCCACCAGCGAAGCATAGGCTGCACACCCCGAGGAATGTTTTGCCAAACTTCCTGCCCTGTGCTCCAAAAGGTCAACCACATAAGTCCAAGCTTTCGAGGAAAAATCTTGTTCATCGATTGCCCATCTGGCAACCGGTTTCCATTCATCTTTTCCAGCTGTAGAAACCAAGGCGGCGAGTTCCACCAGTTGAGCGCATGCCTGCCAGTTGGCTTCCATGTGCAAAGCATATTTGAATCCATCTTCGGCATTTTGAATTTCTTCGACTTGCTCGGAGTAGTAAGACCACAGAGGCCTACCCGCCACCAACAAAATCATGCAATTCTCCCAATATCTTTCGGATAAACATTGGAATCCCAAGTGGAGCCCGCCAACTCCAGACTTTTTCAGTTCTTGAAACTTTTTTGCGTCTTCTCTGTCAGGATCCTCTGCTTCTGGCAAGTACCACCGCAATACCATACGTGAGGCCCACCATTCTCTCATTTGGAGATGCGCAGCAGATAGCCACGAAAACCACCTGCTCGATTCGGGAGCTTCAGACTTAAGCCTCCACGAAACAAGGTTTTGCCACAAAGAATCCAAGACAGCTTGCTGATCTTCAAACGTGACAGTAGGCATTTGGAAGTCTGCGCCAACGCGGTCAATGTATTCCTGGACGACAGGGTCATCCTTAGTAAAAGAAAGCAACTGCTCATTTCAAATGCAGCCGAGCCGGGAGCCAAAGAGAGGCTCACACAAAAACTGATAATTCAATGTTAGAATCTTGTAACAAGCTGCAGAGGCATGGATTGTTCAAGCATGGTAAGCCATTTAGTGCCATGATAGTCGCAGCACAGGTTCGCACCGAATCACACGAAACATTTCACTGAATTTAACCACATCTGAACAGAGTGCATGGCATAAGTCAGTGTGCAAGTCCGGAAGTCGCAACAAAAATGCTAGACTCGCTGATCCAATTAGTTCAGGCAAATCAACCGTAACCACTGGACACAGAAAAGCAAAAGTGAAGCGATTCCACAAAAGACATTTATTTGACATTTGAAGTATCACGGGTTCAATACCATCCCAAAACCATGATGTGACTGCAGCCAAGGCACAACACAAACGGAACGGAGAAAGGTTTGTAGCGCCTCTGTTTTTTCAACAAAAAAGGCTCCACTGCCATAGGGTTTGTAGTTCACCCCAAACCAGTACTGAGATGCAGCCTGAGCCTGCATCAAGCAAGCTTGGGCAGACCGCTCCTGGCTCAATCTCATGTCCCGTTGCAGGCGATGGAATTTGTCGAACTCTGTGTGTATCATGAACCCTTGGTCCAGCAGAAACGCAAATCCTGCTGCGCCGACAGATCCCTGGTCTTGCATCACAGTTAGCGATGGCAAAGTGTTCACTGCCATGTTCACATCAAAGATCTCCGAGCTGCCATCTGAGAACAAGATTCTGAGGTTGCCATTGTTTAACACCACTCGTCTCCAACCAGGCTTCATTCGTTGGAGGGCTTTGCTGAAGGTCACTGGTACTTGAAAACATTCTAAATCCAAGTTCCCAGCTGTGATGAGGTAGATCTGGTAGCTCAACGATTGGAGCAGCCGGTAGCTGCTTACACGGTCCGCTTCTCGTCTAGCCAGAAGCCGCTCAACATCATCTTCGACATCGAACTCGCCAGGGCCAACGCACTTGGCTGCTGACAGGGCTTGGCACGGGGCAAATCCCGCAGTGTTCAAGAGAGGATCAAAGGCTACAGTAACAATTGTGTTGCGGCCTCCGTGGGTGCTTCCATCTGTGATAAGTGTCAGATGTCGGGAAAACTTGAACAACAATTGCGTACGTGCAAAGTACATGCTCAGCAGCTTGTTCTGCCAAGCACAAGCAGACCCTGCGGAGCCACCGCGTTTCACTTTGGCCAACCGATGCAAGCTAAGGTGCTCATCTTGAGCTTGACATACCAAGTCCCACACCTCGTTGGGATGCAATCGTTTGGTAACCTTCTTGCCAGGACTGTTTCCAATGGCACCGCTCTCTCCCACAATTGCTTGTTCATCCGCTTCTTCGAGTTGCCTTGTCAGGGGTGAGAAAACTCAACTTTCACAACCAGCAGGCTAAAAGGGAACCGCCCCAGGACTAAGAGAATCCATCTTTAAACCATTCATGATATATCTCTCTCTTTCACGCAAGCGAACTGATAAAATTGGTCCTGGAATATCTGCGCGAAGGGAGCTGCACATCAGGGCCAGCGCGGTAGAGCTGCAAATTCGAAAGAATCTTTATGTGGAGAACATCTGCAAGACCTTTCAGAAGCTGTTTCAACAAGGATTCCACTAAATCACCGCTTATCTTCTTCCAGCGTTGTTTTCCTTGGGATCTTCTGATTCTCTTGGCCAAAGTCAAAAACATGGCTACATCCAGCAAAGGCAAGGGCTGATCATTGCCCTCTGGCCAAGACGTGGACAACTGCTCCCTCATGGACTCCCATTGCTGTCTCCACGCGTCCACCACGGCTAAATGCTTTTGCCGAAGAAGCTGTTGGAAATTGGTGACCATTCCAGCTGAATCTACCATGTCACCCAGGTCCAAGCCCCTATTTTCCCAAGACAAGTCCACAGCCAGTCCAACGACGAACCTGAGGTAGCCCAAAGCTAATTGCATTTTCGAAGTAGTGCGCGTAACATCAGCCACTCGACTTAAGTATGTCAAGACCAAACCAGTTGCCGCACAGTTTGCGCTCAAAGCATTTGGCCTGCACATGGGCTCTCATTGGGCAGAAATTAAACTGTATGAATTTCAGAGATAACACGAAACATTGGCAGTCATGAAGCTTCTGATTCGTGTCGCAATTTTGTCTGTCTGTTAAGTGTTTAATAAATAAAAGCTACTCTCCAATCATCCAAGTCTTGTTCAAGTGAACTAAAAGTCAATTTTCCAAAGCCGCACCTGTCCACCTTGCCCCGAATGTGAAGCTCATTCTCCAACTCATCACACATGGCAAGGCGTTTAAAGTCGTTGAGAAATTTGGAGCTTTGACGCTCTTCAGCTTCTTCACGAAAAACATCCCAAAGATAGCCAAGGTCCCAGAACAAAATAGTTCCCTGGCCTTCGCGATAAGCTACTTTGGACGGATATTTGCCTTGCAGAAACACCAAATGCGTGGAGCCCTCGACGGTCAGGATGGGCTCCTGCGGGTGCCTCCATACCAATGGCTCTTCCGCCAGCTGCGGATTGCCCAAGTCATTGTCTTCCATTGGCAAGGGGCCAGAAACCCTAGTCACTGGACAAGATACAGCCAGCTGAATTTCTGAATGCTTCTAGCTGTCCAGTTGTCAACATGTAAAAAGGTTCATTGTCTGGCGCTAACCACGACATATGGTCTGGTGTTTACAAGAGTGCTGCGCTCTCCAACCGCACATGATTTCTCCTCATCTGGTCGCGTTGCAGGACATGTGTCATTTGCATTTAACATATCACATATGCCATGTGTCATGTGAGAATGTGACTCGTTCCAAAAAAGCAGCAGCAACATGGTCAAATGACGTCCTCACTCGGCAGCAGCCAGGTGAAACATAGTCATATGATACACTCTTTTCATTTGAACATATGGCAAAAGATCAAATGGCCATGTAACATGAAATTCAGTCAGCAGATTCAGTTGCAAAGCCTGGGATATGCAAAGTCACGCCTGTGATGCAAACCATTGCGGCACAAGACAATTCACCAGCCCACCTGCCCATCGTGATCTTGGAGTTACTGGCATGGAAACAAAAAATCGATCCACAAGAAGTGAAGAGAAAGACACATTTGAACACATGAACCAAAGCTCACGCAAATGCAGCAAACAAACTCTTTGGAATGTAATGCTGAGTGAAGTAATCTGAACATACCAGCACTTTGACAGTGATGCATCAATAAGTGACACCTGAAGTGCTGAAGAATCCACTTTTGCAAATCAACATATGAAGTACATGAGCCAGTCAACATACACCATAATGCAAGGTTCAAACCGCATTCAAAAAGACAACAGACTTGCCAAGCATCAGGTGAAACATCTTGAGCCCAACACTGAACGCTGGAACCAGGTCCGGCAAGACACAGCTCTTGCCAGGTGACACAGCTCTTGCCAGGTGGAAGGTTTGACTCGCCTCCACATTTTTCATGGACAATGCTGCCGAAGCATCCAAACATGAATATGCAACAGCTTTCAGTATATACACCAAGGCTGGGGCACTATTGCAAATGCTTGGGTTTACCAACAACTTTCTTGATACCTTAAGGTGACAAACCTCAACATGATCATGCTCTACATGAAAATTATGAAAATGAAACTTAAAATCATGGACCACAATCGCACAAAAAACTTTTTATTCCGCGGTTCTGCATCTCTGGGCTCACCAGCAGCTGCTTTTAAGAAAGCAGGCGTCTGCTCATAAGATAGTTATGATCGAACTGTGGCAACTGGTACGACCTTGGCAGATTGGACTTGGGCCCCAACACAATCTTTATTTTCATACAAGTGGACATTGCATGATATGATCACTTCATCAACCACATACTCGAAAATAAGTTACCTAAGTAGTTATAGTAATCCTACAAAAAAACATGCCCACGAGTCGCAACCCAGCTGTGGCAAGTGTTGCTGCAGTTTTCGAAGACCAGTATCAATATGATACTTGGCATTGACCAAAATCCAGTCCAGGGCTTTTTGTTGCCCATCTCACCAAACAGATCTCAGTCTGATCAAAGAAACTGCTCAGATGCCTCTTCTGCATTGCTTTCATCCTCATCCTCCATGGCCCAACCGTCGCTGTCCTCCTGGACAACCACATCATCATCACCATCTTGTCCATGATTGGTAGAAGGCGCCTCTGCCATCGTTGACGATGCACTGCCTGACCCATTGTGCATCGTCGTTGAGGAAGGGGCCATGGAAGCAAACACATCTGACCATCCACGGCCAGCACGTTGGTGGCATCTCAAGGGACAGGCATTGGCTGCACTGATGTTTGCCACTTCCTTCCAATGCTGGACGCACTGAGCATGGAACACATGCCCGCACGGAATAACTGCATTTTGGGAAGGGACCTTCATTGGCTCCTGGCAAATCACACACCAGGGGTACTCCACAGCGCGTCCTGTCTCATCTCCATCTCGATTGGGGCCCACTGGAGTGTCACGGCTTCCTTGTCCATCCTCACTGCATCCCAGGACCAAAGTAGTACCTGAGCGGTGATCATCATCATTTCCTGCATCATGTTCAGGCTCAGGCTCAGGAGAAGCAGGTGGCGGTGGTACGACAACACTTGAGCTCTTGGACGCAGCGGTCGCCAACAAGCCTGCCATGCTCCATTGAGGTGTTGGAGCAGCAGGGTTCAGTAGTGGCACTGGGGGCAAAGCTGAAGTCTTCGGCATGCATGCCTTGGGCATGGGAGTCTTTGGAGCTGGAGCCTCTGCAACAAAGACGGGAGGAGGTCCCTTCGGTTTTGGAGGTGGCTGCAAAGTCGCAACAGTCGCAGCAGACCCAGCCACTTCACCACTCTGTTGAGCTGGCACCGGTGGAGGCCCTGGAGGAGGGCCCACCATGGCGGCCTTTGCCATGGCGTCAGTGATGCTGTGGCTTGCTGGAGCCTTTGCCTTGGCTTTCCTTGCAGTCACCGCCATCCAGTCATCAGTCCACCCATACTCCTGAGCTAGGCCAACCACTTCGTAGTCTGTCAAGACAAGGGACAACCTGCTTTGGATCTTCCGAGTGAACTCCTCCTTGCCACCCATGGAATTCACCACCCTTGTACAAGAGGTCTTCAACTTGTTGATGAGCTCCCTGTAAGTGCGAGCTCCTTGCAGGCACATGACTGATAAGATGGATGATATTGCTGGCAAAAGAATATGGTCAAGTCTGGAAGTAAGAGCCCAATGCTATTTGTTTTGCCCAAGTATCAACCATTCAAACAAAACAGTCTGTTCAATATCATCTGTCTTTTAAAAAATGAAAAAGTGGTGATAATCGCCCCAAGCAAAATTTACTTTATTGCAAGCAAGGCTCGAAGCACCGACATTTGAACACATGGCCGCATTCGAGTGAACAAGTAGATGCAAGCAAGCAAGCCCGTCACGGACAGGTTGGCTGTCAGCGTGGCATCGAAAGCGGCATCCAACCGCTCACAAATCTCCGAGAGCCACCGACGAGGAATGTTCTTCAACAACGACGCGCTCCTAGTGACTATTTGATCCAACTCATTATCCTCCACTGGGCCCATGTTCCCCTGTCCTGGCTGTGGTGGCGCTGGCGCCTGCAAAGGTGGTGCAGCCACCTGAGGGGCAGCCACAGGCAGCGCCTTCGGAGGAGGAGCTTCTGATTCCGAATCACTGCTCTCCTGATCCCCGTTGGCAGCCATGGAGTTCATCATCATGCTGGCAGCCATGGGATTCATCATCATGGCCATGGGATTCATTCCCGCCATTGGGTTCATTGCTCGCTTCTGTCGCTTGTTGGAGTGACGCCCCATGTCACACAAGCTTCAAGGCAAACAACTTAAACAAGTTCCCCGATCAAATGACGATATGGCAGGTGACTTGAGCATAGCCGACAAAGTCAAAAACAGCGCAAGCAAATGAACATGGGCGAATGTTGCACATATGAACCATATGAAAACATGTTTTCCACTGTAAACTGTACTTGCAGCATTGTTTTTGTTCGATCGAGTCTGTCGTTTAGAGAAGTTTGGATCATATCTTCAAAATACATCAAAATACAATTTCGAGATTTTTTGAGATTTTTCGAGATTTTTTGAGATTTTTTTCCCCTTCATTTTTTGAGTTTTAATTCAAAGTAGTATTCGACCATCGAGATTTTTCGAGATTTTTTGAGATTTTTTGAGGCCGGCCATTTTTTAATTAATTTTGCACTTTTTATATTCAAGTAGATCTAAAACACAGATTTTCGAATTCTGTTCAGGTCAGAGTGAGAGTGTGTGTGTGTGATGTTGTTGAATCATTTCACTGTATGTTGTTTTCTTTTCATATCATCTCGCTGCCGACCTTTGCCATCGCCCAAGGCCATTGGATCCAAAGGACCTACACACGTGCATGATGAAACTGGATACCCGGGTCTTAAACAATGATTTCAATTTCAGAAGCCTCCAAAAGTAATGTTGCATATGTATTACCAGTAACAAGTCAACAAATCATCAATATTACAAATCAGTCGATATGTCATTGAAGTGTAGTGAAGCTGAGACACAACAAAAAGAACCTTTGCCATCAGAGAAGGTCACCACACAACTTCACCGGCACACATGTGGCAGAAACATGTCGGAACAACATGCTGTTTTTAAAAAAGTTTTGATACCAAGACCTTGCAATACAGCAAGCACCTGGCTTGCAATAAATGAAAACTATATATCACAAAATGTAAGCCACCAACACCATCGACACAACATTTGCAAAGTCCTTAAGATGCAAACAAAATTGTTGCGCCTCGAGAATTTTGACATCTTGCTTCAAGTCGAGCGCACGGTGTCAAATCAAATCAAGCAATCAATCAGTGTCATATGATCATATGTCATATGTTCAGATGACCCACGCATGGCAATCTCATATTCATATGATCATATGAGCAAAGGTCACATGTCCACATGAAGCTGTTGAGTCATCCACAGGACATGTTTGTGGACCCAACTTGGAAAAACAACGAAGATCAAATTATATCAACTTGTGTGTGAATGTTTATTTTTGTTACGCCGCCAGGTTCATAATGCCACAATGGACAAAGAGGCGCAAACCTCTATTGGGTTCACACTGGCTCTGACTCTGCTAAGCCGATCCTCCACCAAGTTCGAATCGAGGGGCTGCACACTCAGATGAAGGTGAGTGTCAAGAAGACAGACAGCCACTCTCAGTCTCACAGGTGGCAAGTAAACAGTCACCTGCCCTGCTGCGGGAGCTCTAGTCTAGTTCCAACGGGCATGGCGCAGCTGCAACTTGCCATCCCCTAAATCAACCGTTGACAAGTAGCTCTGCAAGTGGCACAGGCTGTCAGCAATGACCTGGTAAGCCGCATGAAAGCCCACGAAGATCCTTCCTTGCCCCTCGTGGGTAATGATGGTCTCCAAGTACTTCAAGGCCGCTCTGGACTCTTCAATTTTGCGCTCAATCATGGCAGCCGGAAACCCTTGTGCGTCAATCTTGTGGAGCATGGGCAGGGGCCCTGCATTTGAGTCATACACAAGGTTGTCAACATACCTGGTGTCTGCAAATGACCCACCAGAAGCAAAACTGCGAAAGGCAACACAAGCAGTGATTGCAATGGCCACCCCATGAGCAGTTTGCTTGTAGTCCTTCCACATGAACTGCACAAACCGTAAGACTTCCTTGCAAGACTCCAACTGAAATTCGCATTCTTCGTCCAACTGGGGCCTCAAAACACTGAGCTGATTCCACGCGGTCTGCAGCTCTGCCTCGCTTAGCAGCTCGGAGGCCATGTTGAAGAGAGAAGGAAAATAAGTCAGCAGGTCAGCTTCTAGCTTTTGAACCCTTAATTTCTTTACAAACATGTCAGCATATGAGCATGTAAGCATGTGAGCAGATCTTTGACTAAGTGAATAGGTCATATGATTTACGTGGGGAGTTGCAGCCACATGTTTAAGCATTGCGAATTCAGCGATTGGAGTGAAACTTCAACAAAAGCTCAATAATTTGCAAACAACAACAAGCTGGCAATACCACTGGTCAACAACAAAGCACAAACAACACAAGTGACAACTAAAGACTGCTTTCCAAGATTGGGACCTCAGGTCGTCCCAACAGGCCAGGGCGAAGAGACCAAAGAGGACCAAGCATCACCTGCCAGAGCTAAGACGAATTGCTTTCAAAAGGCGAACCGGACACACATGATGACATGTGACTCAATGCCTTGCTGCGGAACTGACCTTCTCACTGCAAATGCATGCAGGTGTGCGCTGCTTCACACTGAGTGCCCAGCTGTCATTTCCCCAGCTTCAGCCGATAGACCTGGGAAGCTCAGACCCCATGGTTTACGGCTCGATTAGCCATAGTAGGCTTCTCAAAACCCAGAAGACATTTCTCGAAAACAATGCGCATTGTGTACTATATATATATCCACATTGCCTGCTTCAGTTCCTTTTCGGCACTGATTCTTGAGGTCGCAGCTAGCAACAGATGAAGGCAGCTCCACCTAGGCTCAAACATATAAGGCAGCCAGCATTAAAACTTGGAAAGAGGTCAAACTTCAAGAACATTTCGAAATGTGTCTTTCAGTCTTCTCCACTACTGATTTGCTGCAAGGAGATCGGACCTTTTTGCATCCTGTCTTTACTACAGTGCTTTGAAAGTTCTGTGCGCAAGGGGTATATTCCAGGCTCCACAAATTCAAAATTCGAAGGCCATTCGCAGCCATCCTGAGCTAAGTGGCTCTTGTCAATCTAATGGCTGACTACGATCAGTGAAAAACTTCGAATCAAGTGAAGTTACCACCATGATCCATTGAGTCACAAGCACAGCTATTCCAAACTTGGCGCATGTCAAATAGGACAGTCAATTCAAGTGGGACGACATGTGCAGCCAAAGCCAGATTCTATAAGTGAAAAGATTCAAGGCCAAGATTCAGCTGGACCTTTTCCGATCAAGTCCTGTCCTTTCTCGACATGTCGTAGAGCCGGGCCTTCTCATTTCCTCAGTGAGTCAGGCTTTACAAGCAAAGCCAGCAAAGTTAAAGAGACAAACAGTGAAAATTTCAAATGCACTGACTGACAGACAGAGTTGCTATTTGCAGATTCAACAGAATAATCAAACATTGACATGTTCCCCATCCAAAGTTAGCCGTGGATGGACCAGCTTATTTGACTCAGAGCGGCGGATTGCCTTCATGAGCCAGCCATCAAAGGACTCATCATCTTGGGCCCGCTTGTACAGAAGCCTGGACCTGAAGCAAGGGACATAGCAGCAAAAAACTGTTCCCAATGCGAGCAAGCTGCTAGTTACAATCCTGTCAACGGCTCTTCATTATGAAAGCTTTCTGCCCACTAACAAAAACAACTCAGAACAAGAGAGCGTAATAGTTTATAATGATATGTTGCCTCAACAAGCGAATCGTTGATATGTAACACGGCAAGCAATCCAGCAGATTCAGATATAATGCACTTCGCTTCACTAGCCACAGTGCAAAGCACGAAAGACATGTTCAGCATGTGCATACTACCAATTTCCTTCAGTACTTACTTCTACTTAGCTTGTTGGGCCCAGGCACAAAATGGCAGCCTGGGACACGAGGGACAAAGTTGACAATCTGCTGCCCACGGTCGTAGAGATGCGATAATCACGCAAGATTTCACACCTTGATCAGCCGCATGTTGGCCCCCAGCGTTTTTGTGCATGTGTGTTCACAAACTTCGGAATGGCGACCAGCTTGTGGGGAGATTAATTTGTAGGGAGTTTTGGGCATCTCAAAAAGTACTTTTTGAGCAAAAAGTGTCTCGTGCTAACATGTCATAACATCTCCGTGTCTTACAACGATTTATAACGTGAAAAAGTGAAAAATGAAAAGTAAAAAAGTTATAAAAGTGAAAAAGTGAAAAAGTAAAAAATGAAAAAGTGAAAAATGAAAAAGTAAAATGATTTATATTAGATTGAAAAGTTTTAAAAGTTATGCACCAACAAACATTGAACTTACATGAATTAGTATCCTTGATGGATGTGGCATGGTTGTCAATTGAGTCAATTGTGTCTTATTATTGGCAATGAGAGCAGAGCTTGGTGATGGAACTTCAATCATCAAGTTTACTACATTGCCAACATTACTATTTATTGGGCATGTCTAGTACCTGTGTTTGCATATGCCTCATGGAAGGATGTGTGTTATACACATCACGTCAGGATGATTATGCATCCCCAGGTCACATGGCAATGCATATTTCCTGTTGCCGATGTGATATCTCACAAAAACATGCCAACATCTTCCCCGCAATTAGTCAGTCAGTCAATTGTGTCAATTGCATCTGTTGTGTTTCTTCAATTTCTGATGTTGAGTTCTTGTGGTGTGAAGTGGTTTCAGATTGAGATTCTCTGAATTGAGTCATTGCTTGAGATGTTACTACATTGTCATTCACCTGCTCGGGCCTTAGTTTGCAAACATGTCTCGTTGACAAATGATTTGCGTCAATTGTGTCATTTGCGTCATTTGGATGTTTGCAGGTCAATGTTTTGTTTGGATGTTTCAAGGAGGGGCTGTAGCGCGTCAACTTCATCAATGACAAGGAGCTGGTGAGTTCAATTATTGTGAATCAATTCAGTGGACTCAAGTCCAAGCTGCAACTGTTCAATTCTTGAACCGGGGCCATGTGTGGGTGGTGGCAATTTTGGCTCAAAATTTGCAGGATTTACTGCATCATTCATTTTGGTCAATTGGTGGATCAGACAGTTGAATTTTGTCAAGCTGTGTCAATTGTGTCATTTGTTTGCCATGATGTCGGTTCCTGTTGCTGATGGCTCCCTTCCGATTGTGGTCCTGCCCTTCGGTATCATTCACGAGGCATGTTTGATTGATTGGAGTGCGTTCTGAGTTGTGTGTACATTATATAAAATAGATAAAGGTTTGCTTGTGTGGTTTGAATTATTAGCTGGTCACTGCATCTCATGAGCAGGATCGTCGGGTGAAATGGCCAAAGTACAGGGAGAGCCTTGGTTCAAATAAAATAAGGCAACTGGTAAATAAAATTCAAGGACCTTCTGAGAAATGTGGTGTTGCGCGCTTTCGCATTGTCAGCGATCCGAGGATGGATGGAGGGCGCAAAGTTGATGCAGATCAATGCCTGAAGCACCCATCTCTTGTGAATCTTGCCAGTGATTCGTAGTGATGTCAAAGTAAGCTGATGGTTGGCTCCAGGCATCATTTACAAAACTACAGCCTGTGAGGAAAGCGAAGGAGATGCTGCACGACTTCCTGAGGGACAGGATGGCCAAGTTACTGGCTGAGAAACCTGAATTGCGTCAGAAGGCCAATTGCAAGAAGTTGCTGGACGAGCTCAACGACAATGACATTGAGGTGGGATCATAATGTTGCTTCAGTCCATGTGGTTTTCAGTACTCAGTAGTCAATCGGTTTTGCCAGGTGCGTTGCGGTGCCAAAAATTGTTGTGAACCATCAGCCATGCTGCAGGCAAATTGGTGGTCTTGCCATGTCCAAATTGACAACGACCTGTGGGTAGTGGTGCCCAGTATGCCCAAGAATGCGCCAAACCTGATTATCTTGCACAAGGGTGCCTACCTCAATTGAGTCAAGTGAATGTTGGAATCCTTTGAATTTCAAATGTTCACACATGACATGAATCATTGAGCTGAGCCAGCAGGAGTCAATTCACTCGACTGGGCCTGCAGGCCAAATTGCTGTGGAGTTCGGTGGCTTCTTCTGTGAGCGTTTGATCCAATTTCATTTGCCCGCGGATGACAATGAAGAGCCAGCTGTGCAAGAGCCACAGTCGCTTCCACCAAATAGTCAGTAGACAGCAAGACTGACTCAACTGACACACTCAGTAGCATCTGAAGTGATGAGCAGAAACCACGGGGTGGTCAGTGATTCTGATGGCTTCAATTGTCTCATCATCATCATACATGGCCGAAATGATTCGTTCAGTCACATGTGGAAAAAACGATGATCAACTTATTGATTGAACGGTTTAACTGTGGCAGGATCTGGGCGCTTGTCATTCTCTCAGTACTCAGAACCAATGATTTGACTTGACTTGCTTTCTTCCGATACAAATGCAATTACATTGCGTCAATTGAATCAATGGAGTTCAGACTTGAATTGAAACTAACAAGAAGTGTTGCAGTCATGTCATTGTATTCTTCAATGTGAGGCCTGAACCAAGCCTGCAGATGTCTTTGAAAGGCCCGGTTCTGCTCCAGTCTTAATTCTTTTCAACATAACATGTTGAAGCTTCTAACAGTGAGCCAGTGTCTGTTGTGGCATCGCCTGTTCAACTGGAAAACTGATTGATTTCATTTGGTTCATCATGCAGTGCTATTGCAGAGTTTCTCTCAATTGTGTCGTCAAGTATTGATGTCATCTCTTTTGGGTTTGAGTGATTGAGTTGTATGTGAAGCAGCTCAAGCACAATGGAAACTTCAAAATGCAATTACACTAGGTAGAGGAACTCAAGCATTGAAGTTGGACAATTTAGCCAGACATCTAATCTAGAAATCAAGTAAAAAACTATAAAATCAAAGTCATCTACTTCATTGAATGAAATCAAAATCATCGACTTAATTGAACAAAATCAAATTCATCTACTTTCTTAAATTCCAGCCAGCGATATTGCCTTGCCAATTGTCAATTGTGTCAATTGCTTCAATTGCTTTCAATTGATCGAAGCCATGGCAAACAAGATTCCTCGTAGCTATGCGCCCGGTGACAACAAGGACTACGACGACAAGAAGAAGCCAGGCAACGAGGAGTCCCAGTACC